TTCTCAGTAGTGACAGATGGCAGAACAAGGAGCAATGGTCTCAAGTTGTGGTGGGAGAGGTCCAGGATGGATATTAGGAAAAACTATTTCACTAGGAGGGTTTGAAGCACTGGAATGGGTTACCTAAGGAAGTAGTGGAGTCTCCATCCCTAGAGGTGTTTAAGTCTCGGCTTGACAAAGCCCTGGCCGGGTTGATTTAGTTGGAATTGGTCCTGCCTAGAGTAGGGGGCTGGACTTCATGACCTTCTGAGGTCTCTTCCAGTTCTATGATTCTATGATTTTATGATCATTTTTGTTGCCCTTTTCTGAACCTTTTCCAGTGCCAGTGTATCTTTTTTGAGATGAGGTGACCACATCTGTACACAGTATTCAATATGTGAGCATGCCATGGTTTTATATGGAGACCATAAGATATTCTCTGTCTTATTCTCTATCCCTTTTTTAATGATTCCTATCATTCTATTTGCTTTTTTGACTGACGTTGCACACTGAGTGGACGCTTTCAGAGAACTATCCACAATGACTCCAAGATCTCTCTTTTGAGTAGTTGTAGCTAAATTAGTCCCCATTGTATTATAGGTTTATAAAGCTTACTGTCCTTTTTTGGCAGGCGTTTGGAGGGCAGAATAATCATCAGCTGGGCTATGATCAGATGTTATCTTCTTGAACTAAAGTTGTGATTACAAAGGCTATGTCTACACAGCAGTGTTATAAATAACATAGTCCCTGTCTACACAACAAGTAGTTATTTCGACATACTGTCAAAATAATGTCGAGCTGGAGGACACCTTACTTCAACTCCTGTAACCCTCATTTTACAAGGAGTAAGGGAAGTCAGAAGAAGAATGCTTTTTCTCGTACTTCCTACTGCGTAGACAGCACCAAAAAGCCAAAGTAAGCTATTATGTCTTAAACTACGGAATTGACATAGCTTAAGTTACGTAACTTATTTCAGTTTTAGCCCTGATGTATAGATGTGCCTTAAGCCACAGTGGTTAATGATGTGCTGGACAGAGTCTCTGTTACTCCTCTAAGGAGCTACCAATCCACAGATGATGGTTCTGAACAAGTCTCTGATGACTTTTTCTCATCTGAATGCTATCACTATATAAGCCTACCCAAGTGTGGTTATATACTATCGTTGTGGAAGCAACCACATTAAAATCGAATGTAGTTAAGTTTTCAGCACACAATCTGGCAGACTTAAAATAATTTCATATCAATATTGAGACTCTCTCTCTCTGGCTCACATTTATGTACAATAACAAAATTCAGATACAGCTTTAAGCTCTGCAGTCAGATTCATCAGCGTAAATCAGAAATAAATTCAGCAATTAGATTTCAGGTTATTTTTACACCATATTAATCAAGATTAGAATTTGGCTCACTAGAAACATACGCATAGAAACATACACATAGAGTAAGATATTTTCAAAGTGAGATTTAGGTGGTCATCAAGTCTTGGTTATTGGGATGTATTTTACCAAAAAGAATATCAAACACAAATTGCATGTGAAATAAATATGAGGGGGGAAAAAACAGACTGAGGAGTGGAAACTTCATGCACTACCTCTAAACACAATATTTATCTGGGATATGGAGGGAGCAAAATCATTATGTGTCAGCAAAAACCAAGGAAATGGGAAGGTTAAATCCTTGAAAATATCGTATTGCTTTGGGCCACCTGCTTATATTGTCCTTCAGAGGGAATCCCCTTGCCAGACTGCATCAGTGCATGCCTTTCCTTATGTATCTGCTGCCTTATACCCATCACTGTTAATGAGTGCTGTAATTACTAGATAGCTCTCTCTTGTCTCTCTACTACTTGCACTCTGGGCTAAGCACTTTTCTCAAGTCAACATTTGAAAGAAAGCGGGTCGGCA